GGTCTTCTGACAGCCCAAGGCCCCTTCAGTACAGCAGCACTGACTACATCAGCCTCATGCCTCAGAGGGGCTCTGAAGAAGCTCCCCCATGGCATCTAGGGCCCCAGCCCTCTTCACACTCCTCACTTCTGCAGGGACCTGTTTGAACCTGCCTCCAGTCAAGGCCACATCCAGCAAAACCCAGGCCCTTCCAAACACACCCCAGAAAGAAAAAGCATGTGTGAGGCACAGCCGCCCACCCTCACAGACAAACCTTTCGGAAATTCCCTGGCAATAGCCATCCCTCACACGGCTTTTACCAGGGAGCTCCCGCTCTACTTCAAAACCACCATGGCAAGTGCCCTGCCCTCATCAGCTGCCCTTTCAGCCTGCCACCAGGACCCTTCTTCAGAAATGAGCAGTTATCCCTATGGAGACTGCCCAGCACTGTGCTGTGATTGCTCCCAGATGACACCTTTCACTAGAGCAGGTCTCTCCAAGCCCCATCCAACCTGCCCTTGAACACTGCCAGGGATGGGGCATGCTCTTGCTAGTGCTACCACTGGCAACTCTCACCCACCAAAAGACAAGGAGCCAGGTCCCGAGCCCTGTGCGGCCATCCTCCTTCTACCAGGGGCAGCCACCTCACACACAGTTCCCCTCAGCTGAAGTGCTTGTGTTTACCTCAAAACTGGCTTTTTGTCCAGCTGCACTCATTGTTTCTGAATCTCATGGCCCTACCCCTAGCAATGGTTTTGTATGATCCCACACTCAACACAGATGTGGTCACATTCCAACCTCTGTTTGTGCCAAGGTTACTGGCCTTGAGCAGCAGCAGCCGCCAAGCAGGAAAATTTATGCTGGCTAACCTTTATGCATGTGTGTTTATAAATCATGATGTTGTATTAAGCCCCAACACTCATGTTCTTCAAATATGATACTGCCTCTTCTCTACACCAATGCTGCCTGATAGCTTCTCTTCCATTAACAAGTCTGGTTAATAGACTTGCATTTTTCATATAATTTGTAACATTAAGATCACAGTCCCAACAGCTACCTTAAAATGAGTGCTCACTCCAAAATATGCACGCCAAGACAGAGCAGATTCATCTGTACTTCTTACACTCTGCCTTCTGCCTCTGCTAACAGTGTTATATGGCAGGATCATTTCTAACCAGCCCACCTTACACATTTAGCTTTGTTGAGGGCTACATGAGGCCACTGTCGCATTAATGAGAATCTGAACACACGCATGGTCACACACACAGCAGACTGACAATGCCTTCAAAGGTAACTGTTTTCAACTAAGTAATGCCCTTGCAACCATAATTCTCTGCCCAGTTCAGGAGAGGAGACTGTTCCAAGAGCTCTGAAAAGCTTGTAATCCAGTCCTCTGTCTCTAGTATAGAGAGTCAGTCCTTACAGCAGATGGATGGTGTAGCATGTATTTGCTATGCAAGATGACTTAATAAATGAAGTTACTATGGCGCTTGTCCTTCATGACCTAGAAATGATTTCACAACGCATGCTCTGGAAGTAGGTCCTTATGTGCCAAAGACAGCATTTCAAAGAGGCTCCACTAGCATCGTTTCTGCATCACTTTTTCCAACTGCTGGCATACCATATGCATGACAGGACAGCTAACAAGCCCAGTCCACAAGAGACGGTCTTCCACATGTCATATACGTTTTGGGATCTGGTACCCAAGTAAAATGAGAAACTGTCCCTGTCAAGTCAGAACAGCTGAAATGAGATACACAGGCACTAAACCGAAGTGCTAAACTTCAAATGCCACACCACAAAGATCTGCTTTGCTCATAAATACCCCATATTTATCTTTTTCGCATGTTTTGCAGAGGAAGGAGATAAAATTCTTCCAACCCTTAACACAAGCTATGCACATTTTCTGAAGGCTTTTTTGGTCTTTTTTTCTCTTGCTACTAGACTGCAGTTTTTATCCATGTATCTGTACTTTGCTACTTAGCATTGATTATCTTTCCTAGAAAAGCATGTCCACAGTTAAGTTTGACAAACTTATTTTTGAAAATGGCACAGCCAGCTGCAGTAGAATTATAGTTTTATAGAAATATTTGTTGGGAATTGCACACCCAAAACTATATTCAAGAGCTACTTAAATGCCCCTGAGCTTTCCTGAACAACTTAGCACAGTGAAGGGAAAAGAAAAACCTGTCGTGATGGCAAACTGCAGTGATGTACATAAGAACACAGTACTGAAAACCAATCACAAGGGTGTTTTGGGTTTTGTCACCCTCCAGAGCATTAGTTCATCAAAGAATATTAATATAACTCCCACCACATAAATGTATACAGAAGATATATGACCAGATTACATTATAATCCTTCCTACTATATATTCAAATAATAAATTATCACACTATTCCAGAAGCACAATTTTTCTGCTCAAAAACTCAAAACACAACAACATATTTCTCAAAGGCAGAGACTTCTCCAGACCAACGGATTTCAGAAGTAGAATACATGCAGCTATTTTTAATGATTCCCATAAGGAACAAGTACTTGCTATAACTATCCTGCAAACCAACCAGTATTCCCAACCGGATTTTACAGTGGACCAGAGCTTCCCCTATAAGTTTTAAGGACTTGCATTCAGAAAGTGCAGAGAGCAGCTCCTTTGGTAGACTTGTTTTCCCCAACAGCATATACCAGGTGCGTCAGGCCCTGACCTTAGAAAAGTACCAGAGAGGCATTTACCACACTGACCACACGCAGCCATAGACAAGGGCAGCAGCATCCTTCCAGACTAACACTTCCTAACCAAGTGACTTCACACCAGAGAAGCCTACAACAAAAGCCTGATGTAGTTAAAGCCACTGATGTAACTTGCCTGTTTTCAGGCTCCTTGGCTTTCCTGAAAACCATAACCATACTATGTCTCAGTCACTATCAGATTTCAAAATTCATCTGGTTTTTGTTTATTTCTGCAGAGCAGAAGCATATAGTGACAGCAAATTAGTACCAAGATGTAAGAACACCAGTCTACAAAAACATGCAACTGTTAGTAGACATAATAAAAAATATTAATATAATGCACTAAAGTCTACCTAATGCATCTGGATCAACACTTTAAGGCCAGACTTACCTTTTGCACCTTTTAACAGCTATTTTGCACCAAAGAAGAAACTTTCACATCAAGTTGCCTGAATACATATTAAAGAGGCGGGAGGGGAGCAGTGGGATAGGTAATCATTTGCACACACATCTAAGAGAAAGTTAGGAAGTTGGTTTATTTGAAACTGTGAAATCAAAGTCCAATAAAGAAAATGCTTAACATCACCACTGGACACTATGCAGGAAAACTCTGGTAAGACTGGACTGTTCCCTTGGAGCCCCAGCATGGATGAACCCTGAAATGACTTCCCAGCTCTCTATTCCAAGCCACATTGTTACCTCAAGAACAATCTTTAACCATTCAGGGCAAGCCTTCCCCTCAAGCAGGCTGCCAAATTCCTTCCTGCTGGAGTTTCACTGATACCAGCATAAACCACCTGAAACGTGGCAGGGCTCACAGTACTGAGGCTTTAAGAGTGAAACTGAGTGCCCAGACTTCAGAACTTCTATAGAGCATTCATCCTCATTCCTCACTCATTCAAATGGATTCATGAACTATGCTACTCCCAAATATCATATATTTATTTTTAATGAGCTATTATTAAGCTAGATCACCATACTGGTTTCTTACTCACAATCACTCACTGCAGTGAGATGGGCACATTCCCAGAAATGGTGTCTGCGTCAATTCAGCACTGCTATTAACTAACTAGGTTTTTCCAAATAGCAGATTCTCTCAGTTTCAGCAACCATATATTGCATATACATCAAAACTCTCTGAAGAGATCAATATGAAAATATCAAGACTATATCCAAAATAGAATTTCAAATAGCTTATAGAACTTCAGGTGGGCAGCCACCAAATTCTGCTAAAAAATGTCATGCCCTTTTGGAAACTGCACCGAAAACATTCTGTGCCTGCTTTAAAAACTACTGCACAGGGCAAAAGTACACTTACTGCTTAAAAAACAGAAATAAGCTCGCACATCACTCTTTCCTTGTAACACTGGCACAAGTGAACTGACAGGACAGCCTGCTCTGTTTTTTCTTCTGGGAAAGATGGGTGGAGAGGGGGATGAACAGTAGGGAAAAATTAATGCATATTTTAAGTTATTTATTATATAACTGGCCAGTAATGAACACTGGAGGCACTGTCTGACAAGCAAGATGAAACCAAGCACACCCAGAAAGAAAGAACAGTACCAAACAAGGCCTCAATGTGGCCACCAGTACTACAGCTTATTCTTCAACTAAAGTGAACCTTCCCAACAGCTCTTCCATAATCTGTAAGAGGGATGGTAATTTACATTGAACAAGCTGATCTATTTGGGTTTTATGCCAATCTTACACTCTCTATAAACAACAATCACTAAGTATTGTTGGTTCAGGTACTCAACAGTTTAAAGTCTTGATGCTACCAATCTATCCAGTTGCAGTTTGTACAATTTCTGCCTCAAAAGGCTCTGAGCCAAGGTCTAACTTCCTGGGGGAGGAGGCACTGCTCAGTGCCCTCCCCCTACTAACCTCAGCTATTTAAAACAAAATCGCATTTTTCACCAAACTTTGGTGATATTTGGATAGGGCTTCTACAGATAAGCGATGTGTACAGAAGTCATCCATTCCATGTATCAGAGCAATCTGACTCCCTCCAATGCGGTTTTGCTTTTTGAAAAAGAAAATAAACCAAATGCTGCTACTACAGCTGCACAAGCTTTGAACAACAGGTACTTAAACAACCACGCTTCAACACCAATGAAAAACCACTTCTAGTTAGAAAGATTTAACGGATAACACACAACCACTTCAAGTCAGTTAATGATAACACTTCAAAGGGCACCACCAAGTTACTCAATCCCCACCAAGTTAGTACTAGTTAGATAATACAAGTCACCAGATTTAACTGGCACAGGCATTTTGGCTGAGGGAAAAAGAAGATTGCCATCTATTTTATTGCTACCAGTGCAACAGGAATTTGAAAAGGCAATGGACGTAAAGGTTACAATCACTTCTTCAGTAGCTAAAACAAAAATAGGTTAAAAAAATTAGGACTTAAACTCACAAATAATGAAATATATGTTTTTTCACGTAGTTTACCTCAGTATATTAACCAACATTGTACATTTTATTGTTTAGAAAAGACAACGACATTGCAGAAAAATAAAATAAAATTTGTTTTCAACAGGACAAATGTTTTACATGGTGGTATAAAAAGTGTTAACGGGAGCCTGGAGGCAAAAAAAGGAAACGGGAAAAGAAAAAAAAAACCTACTCCAGAAAAAGTACAAAGCTAAAACAAATTCCAGATGTGCAAGTCTGAAGGTTTTAGCTTTTCAAATACACAACTACGTGTGCCTTTCACAGTAAGTCACAACTGAACAAGACTGTTTGTACTACTGCACCCTTCAACAGGCCAGTCTGCAAGTCAAAACAAATTAATACAATAAACGGCTAAATCAATAATGATGCAATGATGGGTTCCTTTTAGCTGTTATAAAAGGCTTGTTTATATATCTAATGCTTCGTCTTTTAGGTTCAAACTGTGCTTAAGATTTTTTAGTTCAGACATACTGAAACCCAGCAGCACAGATGGTTTGCGATTATTCATCGCCTTTAAGCATATATTCCTCTTTTTTCCAAAGAATGATGCAACATCAATTTTCCATGCACACAGCAGTGAGGAAAGTAATTCCATCTCTTTCTTAGAAGGATATGGCCTCTTGTGAAAGTAGTCTGTCAAAAACTGCTTTTGAGCCTCATACGAACTGTGATCATGCTGCGTAGGATCTACTGCTAGAAGGCAAAGATCCTCACTAGAAGGAAGCTTCTTCATATCAGACCTGTTGCTAATCTTCTGTCTTTTAAAAGGCACTACCCCTGAATTCACTTCTTTTTCTGGAGACAGAGCTATGCCAGTACTTAAGCTCAGAGGCTGCTGTTCCCTATTCCTTTGGTCTTCTGCAACAAAGCAGGAATCCGACTGTTTTCTTTTCAGCGTCATAGGATCATGCTTTTCACCATTTACAAGCAGTAGCTCTTTCTTCTCAGTACGCTCAAGCTGCATCTTCACACTTGAGTTGCTGTCTTTGGGAGCACTTCTACAACGGAGCAAATGTACAGCGATAGCTGCTAGAGTCATATTTCCAGTGTACACACCACAACAGTGGATGCACTTGAAAGCAGGAGTCTTTAAAATAGTATGTACAGTTGGCATTATATGATGCCGCTCTTCCAAATGCTTTTCATAGGTTTCTTTACCAGCAAACGTACCATAGCAAAAGGGACAGGTTAACGCTTTTCTCATGCATCTGCCCTTCGTTTCTGCTGTCTGAGCTGTCACTTTGATGTAAACTGGGACAAGTGTCCTTGAATTTAGTCCAGCAAGCACAGCCAAATGTACTTCTCTTTCACCAATGTCTTCTTTTGGTAACACTGTACTGAAATCAAAGTGAGGAAATATAAGGTCACCCTGAGCATCATTACCTAGTTGAAATCCTCTGTTGCTATAATCTGCATGTAACTGCTTTTTCCCGTTGTGTGTTGTCTTATTGTGCTCTACCAGGCTTTTTAAGTCATGGAAAGTAACTGTGCAAAACAAGCAAGCTAAGCCATGCATCAAGAGATGTTTCATGAGCTCTTCCTCACACAGAAAAGACTTACAAGAGAAACACCGGACCGTCTTTTCTGTCATCCACCTCAGAAAGGGCGCACAAGCTGCAAGTTTGTCAGGTGCTGGGGTTCTGTCCACTTTTGGTTCACACTGTTTGTGGGCCACCTCCATGTGCACCTGGTAGACATTTGATGGGAAAAGTTCACTGCAAACAGGGCAAGTCTTCCACTGCTTAGCCTGTTTGGTTTCCTGACTTGTTCCAAGACCAAGAAGGGAGGCTTGAAATGATATATTCTGAGATGTAAATACCACTGGAGGAGAGGGTACACTAGCTGGTGACTGGGACAACTGAGTTATTGTCCCAGCCTGCATTAGGTGGAAGGGCACTTGTGGTGGTGTAACAGTTGCTACTCCCCCACCAGGAGGTACAGGCAAAGTAACTGAAACTGGGGAAAGCGTGTACATAGGTATCCCATTAACCTGCTTACCAGTTGGAATCAACTGCCGAACTATAGAACCTGGAGTCAAAAAAGCTGTATTCTGAGAAACTGCTGCTTGAACTGGATGATTTACTGGGATAACTGCTGGGGCAACAGGCTGATTAAGTTGAAAAAGATCAGATCTGACATTCTGCCCAACAGGAACAAGTCTAGAAGCAACAGGCTGGTTAAGCTGGAGAACACCCGAAGCAACTGTCTGTGCCACAGGAAGGACCCTGGGACTAATGGGTCTATTCACATTCCCAAACGACTGATTGACAGAGATAACTCCTGGTGCAACTGGTTGATTCACAGGGCTGACAGGCTGAGTAACAGGTAATGCTCCAGTTGCAAGCGGACCATTTATGGTACCAATGGTTTGATTAACACGGAAGATCCCAGGCCTGACAGATTGATTAAGAGGAAGAACTGAAGGGGCCACAGTCCCCACAGGCTGATTAAGGGGGAGCGTATGGGAAACAATGATAGGCTGGGAAGGTGACGGCTGAATATTCATGTTATTTTGACCTACAAAAAGATTATTAGATACAAGAGCAACATGTGGGGGGGTAGCAACTGGAGCAGAAGTTGTACGTGGAAAGCTACCAGAGGCACTTGGAACAGTCAGTGATCCAGCTGTGTTTTGAATGACATGTGGCTGCACCACACTCTGGGTTTGATTATTCTGTGGAAACGCAAGCTGGATGCAAGATGGAACTGATACAGAACCTGCTGTGGAAGTGGCAGGTGCTGCAGATAGAGAAGTCACCGCCATACTTTGGGGAGGCTTTGGAGCAATTTGCATTTGTTTCACAATTTCTGGTTTCTTAATATGCTCTGAAATCAAAGACCGAAGTTTGTTCTCCAGGTCTCTGTGTGTTTCAGCTGTCAAGACATGATACATTAAAGAATCTTCACTGTTTGCAGAAGCATTACATTTTTTACAGTAGAGCTCGGCAGAATCCCCTTTACTTCCATCAGGTTTCAGGCCAAAATACGTACTAATTAAGTTCTCGAAATGGTTCATCAGCACATGTTTCTTCATATTGTAATACAGTGTGTCTGTGAAGTGGCATTTTAGACATGTAAAGTTTATTATGTCACTCCTGAATTGTTTCATGCCATCCACAATGCTGACTGTGTAGTTCTGTATTCTTTTATTAGACGAATGAAACATCCGGATATGTTTTCCCACTATTTTTGGGTCAGAAGCAAATGCACATTTTGGGCAAGGAACCACCAGCTCTTGGTCCATTTCATCCTCATGGTAGCGGTGCAAGTGATTCTTGAATGAAGTAAGCAATTTTGATGAGAACTTGCATAAGCTACAGCAGTACGGCTTTGTTCTGTATCTCTGCAAACAAAACAAAAACATCCACTTAGAAACTGCCAGTTGATTCCTAAATCCCTGTTATCTGTTTCAAAGTAAGACTGTACTATCACCTGTCAAAAATGCCTTCATTGGATGTACAGCATGCATCTTCTCAGTTTCTTCTGTTTCTGAAAAGCAGACTTAAAGATGCCATACTTAAAGGGATAAACATTTGTGCCCTTTTTGCTTCTTTACAATTTATAAAGAAGCCTTGAGTTTGTTTCTACTCCAGCTCACAAGATGTAACTCTGAAGCCCATTTTTAAAGACAGAAATCACAGAACAAGCTAAGAATTCATATGCTACTTGTAAGCACGAGGTGAAGCCTCAACAATTAGGAATAGCAGCCCTTTAAGTATGACACTTTTAAAGCATTACTTAGGTCAGAACTGCCTATTTACTGGAGAAAAAAGAGAGAAGGGGTGAGAGGTTTTTGTGTATTTCAATACCCTACTCTTCACTGAAAGCTCTCCAAAAGCCACAGAAGATTAATTTTTTTTCCCCTGAACATTCTCTTGGAGCCAGATTAATAATAGAAAGAATTAAAAACCCCTTTTATGATACAGTAGCAGTGACCTCTTTGTATTATCTCAACATACTGGACATCCCATCACAGCAATTTCTTTAAGAAATTTCCTCTAGCACATTCACTATAAAACATACAGATTCTTCTCATAAAAATAATTTAATTGTAAAAAAATAAACCTAATTATCTTCCACTAAATAGTGGTTTGCTCCCTTGATTACGTATCACTTGACAACATTACTTTTCATATCCATATGAATATTATTTGCTCTTCCTGAAAAGCTTATAGGTCTATCAATCATTTTTTCTTACTAACTTCCTAAGAAGTTAAGCCTAGCTCCCGCCAAAACCTACAGAATCAGTCACAGCAGCATCCACGTGACAAACCTGCACTCTGAAACATGTAGAAAAACCTGTCCCTTCAGATGTGTTTTTCACCTTACTGACGCCCCTTAAGAAACACCATCCAAAGGGAACAAGCTGTTCCACCACTACAGCACCCAGCCTAGCTAGATCACCCAAGTATGTGTTAGAGGTAACACATGGAGAACTCCAGCAAAAATTTGTGCAGTTATTTTTGTCATTTCATATAGCCATGAAGGTGTCATCTACTAGCTCCTGATGAAAATCAAAATCTAACCTCCAGATTCAAAAGACTGGGTCAGACGAAGTGACTGGCTAAGACTGCTGAAGAGTACACTGTGAAACTATCAGTTAATTTTCCTCTACTTACACTCTTTAGGTGTCTGGTCTCAGCTGCTAGTAAACAGCACCACAGCAGATTAGAAGAGGCCTCAATTTTACGTTTAAAGTATACTAAGTAGAGAAAGGCCACTGGCACCACTGAACTAAAGAAGCATACACAGTATTATTGAAAGCTGCACCTCATTAGCCTTACTTCTGAAGAAGGCAGATGACAGAGTGGTGACTGCTTATTTTAATTTGTTGTCTGAGGCTTAGAAAAGCTCATATGCTTTTTAAATACTGGACCCACACACCCTTTACTTTCCCCTCCACCCCATCTCTGGATTGGCTCTTTCTATACCCATAAACTTATACCATAGTGTACTATACTGGCAGTATTACTTTGCTACCAAGTCTAAACAATGTTGTTAGGTACAGTTCTTATTCTTACACAAACAAGCATTGCAGTATATCGCTAAGAAACCACCCCGGTACCTGCATATTGTTAAGTCTAGGGGAAATGAAGTTCCATGCCTTCTTAGATCATTTATTTTTTGACAGAGGCAAGAATCATGACACTTTACAGAAATTAAAAAAAAAGGAGAAAGAAAAGTCTTGTACCTCAAATTCTATCAAATTAAGACAATTCCTAAACTCCCATTACTTAACTCAAAAAAAAAAATAAAATCCAACAACAAAAATCCCCAAAATTCTGCTAAATTCTGCTTCAACAGAAGTATGTGAAAGCCTGCTACTTTCGTCTTGTTTATGTATGAAGTAGAACTCTTCCACACAAACACATTAGAAAACAGGTATTATTAGAAAATAATTTCATCAGCATGCGCTCATTGCATAGGCTTTAAGCTCTTTTATATGTTCATAAGTGCGACTAAAAGCTTCCCAGCTTTACAGATAATTTGACAGAATTCTAGGCCACCTAGAAAACAAAAGCGGTATCTTGGAGATTGACCAACACAACCCTAAACTGTACAAACGGAATTCAAAAACGATTATTAGAGGCATTTAGGAAAACTTGATGAGTCCCGCTCCAAAGAACATACCCCGTAATGCAGCAACACTTTCCGTTGTGTAGTCTCACATTCCCCACAACCTAGAGACAAGCAGAAAGACACAACAGCCTCCAGAAATCGGAAGTTCTTCCATAATTATTAATGTCTCCCTAAAACCAGTACTAATGGTAAAACCACCAACTCATCTCAATAAACATCATCTCCAGCTTACTGAGCTTCCAATGTAGTTCAAACAACTTATTTTCCCCTATGGCAACAACTTCTAGAACATCCTCAAGGACCAACTTCTTTCTTTCCAAATCTAGGCAGCATGATAGATACCAAGATATGCGAGTGATAAATGTCAAGGAACCACAGCTGTTTAAAGAAAATAGGAACAACTTTAGTATCCACGAGACATAGCTTGGCAAATCTGTTCTGCAGCAACACATTACAAACACTATACTGAAGTTCATCATCAGAGAGATTCCAATCCTGTTTTTTTGGACACATACTACTGGTCATGCTGATTAGCTGAGTCAGGATCTGTATTTCTCTGTCATGATTTAAGCCCAGCCAGTAACTCACAACCACACAGACACTCACCCCCCCTCTTTATCTCACCCCGCACCCGGAGGGATGGAGAGAACTGAAAGAATATAAATCCCACAGGTTAAGGTAAGAACAGTCCAATAACTGAAGTATAACACAAAACCACTACTTCCACTAATAATAAGGGGAGAGAATATAAAACTAAAAGGGGAAGGGAAAAAAAAAACCAACCCAAAACAATAAACAGCAGCGATGCACAATACGAGTGCTCACCATCCACTGACCAATACCCAGATCAACCTGAACGGTGACCTGGTCCTTCCAGGTAACTCCCCCCAGTTTATATACTGGACATGATGTGCTGTGGTATGGAATACCCCTGTGGTTAGTTTGGGTCAGGTGTGCTGTCTCTGCTCCCTCATGGCTTCTTGTGCCTCTCCGCACTGGCAGAGCGTGAGAACCAGAAAAGTCCGTAACAGAGGTAAGCACTACTTAGCAACAACTAAAACATCAGTGTGTTATCAGCGTTGTTCTCAGCCTAAAGCCAAAACACAGCACTGCACCAGCTACTAAGAAGGAGAAAAATAACTATTACAGCTGAACCCAGGACATCCTCTCTTCCTGTAATAGATCAGGTCTCTCTGCCTGGTTTTTCTCCAGACAATAGGGATGAAAGATTCCCTCTAGTGCATGAATTTTAGTTCTTTTCCATTTTTAATGAAATGGCTATTTTTTTCCTAAAGGACTGTGGACAAAAAAAAAAAAACAAACAACAAAACAAACAAAAAATCAAAACAAAAACAAACCAAACCAAAAAAAAAAACACACCACCTAAAGCCCAACTTTTTGTTAAGTTTTAGACAGGAAGCTTCGTTTTCTCTGCCTTCATCCTCCTCTTCCCTCTTTTGTGTCTGGGGAAGAGGTGGAACCTATCCTGCTCATCTAACACAGGTCTCCAAACACTAAATTTCTCTGTCCACTGACTAAGGAAAAAGGCAAAAAAAAAGAATCAGCAAGGCTAGAGCTCATAAAATATGCTGACTGGAGCCAGGACACCTGATAGGAGACATTTTCCATGTGCATAAAGAAGAAATAAAAAGGGGGGAGGGAACCAATATAACCATTAACGGGATTTACTCCGTTCAGCTAAAGTTAGTCTTGACTGAAGGCAACTGTAAGCCTTATCTGAAGTGGCACTGAGAAGCTAATGCTTGGGTTTCTACAGACCCAAACAAGTCACATTTGACTCTCACCCACAGATTCATGTGAACACATTAACTTCCAATCTTAAATATGTGAAACCAAATTCAGGAAAGGAGAACTAGGAGACAAAGCAGACAAAGGTCCTAAAGGGAGCAAGAGTTGCTTTCTACTAAATGACAGACTGACAAAGACTGAATGGCTTTGTTTGATCAGCCTGTATGTTGAGGCTATTACAATACAACTATTGCATGTGGCAGCCTCTGCTTGTTTCGAAGATGGTCAAGCCAGATTTAAAAAACAAAACAAAAAAAACAGCCCAAAAATCCTGACAAACAGCCACCACACTGTTCTAAACCATAACCTTTGGATTCAGGATGAAAACTACAGACCCACTGCTCTTTACATGCTCTTGATAGGCCTTCTTCATGGAAGCAATCAGGAGCCCCAAGACTCTTCAGCAAAACTGAGAAAAGACTACCTTTTCTTCTGGATATATTCTTATGCTCTACATAGTATGTTAGAAACTTGCTAGAATGTAAAATTATATTTGTTTGTTCATCTCAACCCTGCCTTTCTTGCAGATACTAGGTTCATAGAAGTTTCCAGTCACAGAAAACTAAAAGCTTTTTCATATACACTGATCAAACTGGAACATATTTTCCACTGCAATCCTATCCCAAGCCACTTGCATCTATGCAACCATATTTGCACCCTTCCAAAGAAACAGGAAACATGTTGTATACACAAGCATGTTAAGACTACACATCAGAATAGGCTAAAAAGGCAGAACATTAGTGTGGCACCTTAAATACTCAACATTGAGGGCTGCATCCTTAAAGCAAATGGTATACACAGTCCTTATAACCAGCTGCGTTACGGAATACAGAAGAAATGAAAGATTATTCCTAATAGTACTTCGAAAACAGATGTTAAAGCTGCACTTTTTACCATAAAAAGTTGTATTGTAACTTTTCCAGGACTTCTTTTCAGAAGTGATAAAATTCAGCAACTCCACATACACATCTACCCAGAATCTCTAACACAACTATACATACCTTCCTTTTGCCCACTGACTCCCAAAGAGAGACATCACTCCATGAAGTGTTACAAAAGTGTTTTTCACCTGGGTCAAAACTTTTAAGATTCTGAAAGAGAAAAAGAAAACAAGAAATAATCTGCTTTTGCAGTCTGTTCTGAATACAAAAACAGTCTCAATACAAAGCAAGGAAAAAGAAAAAAGGAAAACCCACACAAACAGCAGATGAATGCCAAGTCCATATAGTATTTGGACCCCAAAATTCAGTTCCAAGAAATTGCTACTTTAATCTCTATTTCATTTATTTTACTTCAAATACTTGTTTGTGACTGCCTTGTAATCTAGTAGGAATTCTGAACACTTCATACTTACTGAAAATGTAGGAGTGAAAATATTTACACTTTAATTCCATTGCTTCTAGCCAAGTTCACAGTGAACACGAAAGATACTTTCTCCCTCTACCTTCCTCTTCCTAAATCTGTAATCCTCCACTATTTACTTCAATTTATTAACTTACCACTAAGGTTTACTCTGCAACAGGGTTTAGCATTAAATCTTCACAGCATTGCTCTGTTTTTAACTTGGGAAAACAAAGAGCTGCAGTATTTTTCTCAAGCTGTAAAAGTAACAGTATTATTGCATCTGGAACAACCGTGCCAGGGTAAAGAACTTTCCTTATAGCATTCTTCTAATCAGTCCCATCAGAACAGTTTATGACCCTCAAGTCAAAGCCAGCTACCACTCTAAAAATCTTAAGTTCCTCTCCAATTTTCTGAAGCCCACATATATCCAAACACAAACTTAACAAGAAAAATAACTACACTACTGTCTGCTAGGCATTTCTGAAGAACCTAGGCTTCAGAAGACCCCGTCCATTCTAATCAGCAATCCCTTCTATTCTAATCAACATCTAAGCACTGAACAAGCCATCTATCTGCCTTTCAGCCAAACCTTCTTAAAGACAGAAAAACACCTTAGAAAGAACCCCTGCATGGAGCAAGAGAAATCCCACAGCCTTAGAAAACATGATGCTTTTCTTACATATGTTTGATAGAGAAAACATATGAAGAGACTTAAGATTTACTAACAGTTCTGCAGCCAAACATACTAGAGTGAATTACAGTTATAAAAGTTCTCGAAGTTTATGGCCTACCCCAAAAATGTTCTGCTTTTGTATTAAAAAGATCACCATTTTCCAGAACAAAAAGATAAAATGCTCAGAGCTTAAATGAAGACTTAAAGATTACAATATGTTAAAGAAGCTAAAATAGTTTACTACAGGAAAGCCTCTGACATTACAAAGTACTTAAGAGTAATTGCAGAATCAAACTAGTAAAGTAGCCCAAAAGCTCATGTTTCTTCCTAGCAGAGATGAATTAAGAACTTTTAGCCTAAAAGCTAAACCATTCAGTCTCCAAGCAACAGACAGATACTAATTGTATGTGAAATTCCTTCACCTTCTTCATAAACTACTGTCCATTATCATACCTTACTAGAACAAGTTAAGACCAATTTTAAGACCAGATGGCAGGTCAAGTCTGCATCACATCATTTCCTACCGTTTCCTAAGTTGTCCAGCCTCCTCACACGAGAATGTCCAGAAATCAATCCTAATACTGGGGATGGGAGATGACGAGGAGGACACACGACTTAACGCACTTCATCTATTAAGACACCACACACCCTGTTCTACCAAAAAGAAATACCATCGTCATACGAGCCAACTACAAATTAAGTTCTAAAAACCACCTTCTTGCTGCTAAAGTTCTACCAAAACCAGCCACAGATTACCTGAAAGAAACAAACTTAAGTTATGAACTTGGTTGAGGAAGAATTATTTGCAAAAAAAAAAAAAAGCTGTATCTTTATAGCCTACATCTCACAGAACGTTTTCCAGAATGGAAATGTTTGCTGGGATTACCACCACCACCATTTATTAAAAGTGAGACACCACCAAATAAACACACACCACCACCACCCCCCAAGAGAACAAAAAAAAACAAAAAACAACACCTTATTCCCCATTCACCATTAAAACCCATACTGCAATCAAAAAGTTAAACTGCAGTCAATTTCATAGCAAAAAAGAATAGCACCATCAACACATTTCTACTTCAAAGGGTCAAGACAGAACAGCTTCTCAGAGGTTTAATTACAAAACAATATACAACACAATTAAAACAGTATGAAAATTTAAATTAAACAAATACACTTTTCCCTCAGCTCTTATGACATATTTAGATAAATCAAACATTTTTAAATGCAATAGCCAAAAATGATCCAGAATTAGTTATGCATGTAGGTCTTAATCATTTACATACACAGTTCAGAAAAAACACCACAAAAGACACAACAGCACTCCTACAGAGTTAACTTAGTTTAGCACCATCGTCCAGAGTTAATCCAAATCATTGATTCAATGTAAAGACATAAACACACTAAACTGCCAAAAAAACCCTGTGGACCAGCTGGCTGGAATACACTACTGTGTAGTCATTGAGTTGCATTACTCAAGTGTTTGCACTTTTTCTGGCATTAGTCTTGCCAATCTGATGGTGTGAATCCATCCTGATTGTTCCACAATACTTCATCCTGAAAGGGGCAACAATAGTACTAGGTCTTCTTGATCGCTCCAGTGCACTTGCATATACATTTTAAAAATGCAGAACTGAATACAACTCAGTAAGACAAGTTTCATAGTTTCCCCTGGACATAAAGCTTAAAGGCCTGCAATGAGAATACTGGGTCTAACTGATTGTTTGTTTTCAGAAATACTGAAAATCTGTATATCCTTCAGAGGCTTGCCCTTGATGTATGTCAGGATATCCCTGAATAGTCAGGTCTTCGTTTTCTGATGTTTTTAAAAGAATGCAAAGAAAGTTGCTGGGAAATATTTTGTTAGTCTGCAGTGTTTTTCCTAAAGCTGTACTGTTTCCTTTTGCTGAAGAATACTTCAATACTAGCAGAGAATATGCATCACCATCTATAACATACCTTGTTCCGAAACTGAGTTTCTGTCAACATTATGTTCTAAAACAGTAAATTCTATCCCTGGCATATGAGTGGTCAGTCATAAGTAAAGATCCCCACCATAAATATCTATGCCAGATATAATATACACACAAAAAGTGAAATATGTTTCAGATTGGTTTCATTATTTCAAATGCTTTACCTTCAACAATTCCCTGCAGCTGTCAAGCCCAAAATCCACAAGAATGCCCTTCACCTTTTTTCGAGCCTTCCTAATATTATCAAGATTTTGAACAGGAACTTGAAACATTTTGCACTTTTCCTGAAAAAGAAATTAAAAAAAAAAAAAGAATGGAATATTTGAACATAGACACTTGCATTTAAAAGTATTAAAGTCTTAAAAATGTATTCTTCAATATGAAAATGCAAAAGCCTTAAGCCAAAGAACTGGTCTCATTAATATTTCCCAGTAGATAAGTTGCTTCCTTTTAAAGGAAACAGAATTTTTTTTTTTTTGGGGGGGGGGGGTTGGGGGTGATCCTTTACATTTCTTCTATTTAAACAAAGTCACAAGTTTTTCTTTCAGATTTCTTTGTGTGAATATGGCAGTTATTCCATGTTTTGTCTTTTTTTTGTAAGAGAACATGAACACCAGTTAGTTTCAGCTCATTTAGGAAGGAGGAATTCAGCACCTTTCTGCTTGAATGTTAGTGTCAAGAGCTTCTTTGATAATCTGGTTTGTAGTCAGGTATGTACATGTTTAAAATATAACTGATGACAAAATCTAGATTTCCTGCAGACAGGAAATTTATGCTATTAAAATCTGTTATGCTGGACCTTTCATAAAACAAGGTAATACAATATTAATTCAGTAGAAATAAAATGTAATTAATGTATGGCACTGATAGCTAAATACACTGAGTGTGGGACAAATTTCTGTCACACCCACATGCTTTTAGGTCTCCTCCTTTATCAGCTTCTCCTACTCCAGAATTTGCATTTATAACCTACCCTACTCTCTCCAGCAAGCTGGAGTCCAGTTTACAGAGAGACAGATTATCTGCTATGGGTCATCCATCTGAAGGGTTGCGCACAGCATGGTTGCCCATTTGTCTAGGGCATAACCACCAGGAATCCCTAGCATTTCCACAACAGCTAGTCTTTCATCATTCCCCATGCAGCTGGGCTATGGATGCATCAGTTGTTTATCTTCAGCTCCCAGTATATCATAAAGTATTCCCATGGGTTTAGGTTATCTTTAGCTCCCAGTACATCACAAGGTACACTCTTGGTCTTAGAAGCATGTGCCTTTATCACCTCTTTTTTTATTACAGCACAATGCATTTTGGACTGAGATTTAAGAAACTTAATTTGGCACAAAATGGAAAGGAACTAACCTACACTGAAAATGGTCACTCGGAGCTTCACAGGTATTTCTTTGTTCTTAGTTAGCTGGACCTAACAGAGTTTAAAAGATCTCAGTCCTTATTGCTAAACGATTCATCCATCTAAGACAAGTTTTAGCAAGGAAAAGAAAAAAAAAAAAATCCCCAAACAGTACTTGAAGGTCCTTAAGGTCTTAAAAAGCTATACTTTAACAAAAAAAAAAAAAAGGAAAAATCAGTGTTAACATGAAATCTTTGCATTAAAATGCAAGACTTTCTTGTAAACAGTAGCAAAAAACCCTCCCATGTAAGACAGAATCCACAAGCAGAGCCTCACCAAAAACAAATAAATGCCAAAAAAACCCATAAACAAAACCCCACTTTTTCTACTCTGTATGTCATCATTCAACAAGACAAAAAGAACAAACCTTAAGTAAAAACATGCAACTGAGTGTTTTTTAATTAAAGCTCAAATAACTCACATGCTATTCTCCTTTTCTTCTCCCCCCAAAGGAAAGCTATGCAGAAAGAAATGGAGAGGGAGCCCCATTTGACAGATGCTAGTCTTGTTTTCTAATGGTTTTTATCCCTAAGAAGTCTGGAAGACATTCTGATACCATTGGGGTAGGTGTGGAACAGGAACCTAGACAGAATAGAACAAATCAGAGTAAACAGTCTGACACTATCAAAATCCAAGGAGTAAAATAAAGCTGTAAAATCCTCTTTTTAAAGTGAAGTCAACTAGGAATTTGTATAGTCTCTGGTTAAAGCTTTATGATCAGTCCCTCTATGATAGAAGGTTATGTGCACCAACCCCATGGCCCACTGAAGGTAACAACGGAGTTGACAGGATGTCACCATGCTCAGATCAGCCAAAAGGATATGTGGTTCAGTGTGTTAGGCTCCACTGGAAACACTTCCTCCATCTCAGTCCTTTAACTGATACATTGATGCTACCGAAGACAGGAAGCAGACATTTCTTGAGGCATGTCTATCTCATAAAAAAAGAAACATTAGTCTACAAAGGTGGTATAGTAATGCAACATCCATGTATCTCAAGTTTTCTTAACCAGCAATCTTTCTGAAATGGAAGTCATTAATAATTCATTTTCCAAGTAGTTCATCTTCAATCCAAAAATATGTGTATTTCTGTATCGTGTGCAACATTATTCAGTTGGTACTTCCACAAACTGTTTCGGACCAAGACTATTTTACTCATCTAACGTTCTGTATCCGTTAGACCAGCAATGCCCCATCACAAAGGTCACTGAAATTTCATCATTCTAAGCTTATTCCCTCAAGATGCCAGTTTAATTCCCTGATTACTACAGAGTTTATTATCCATACTTGTTTAGTACTATTTATTTCTCTTGCATTTTTGACATTCTTCAAGCTTTGGCTTGCACTGTTTCCACGCATAACTACAGTCAATCTTTTGTTGATATGCAACCCATTCTTAACCAGCAAATTCAGTATGAAGGCACTACAGTCAAATTAAACCTGAGCTACTCTAGCACCCAAGAGTCTTGATCTTTTCACCATGTTGGCTAACTACAAGACAAATTTATCTTAAGCTACTTTTAATTTCATGAACGTACTTTTACATGAACAGAACAAAGGCAAGTTAGAATAAAATAAAATAATTGTAGCAGCTGATGCCCCAAACTCAATTCTAAAAAGGTCATTCAACCCTTGCTCGGGCATTTTATCCATCAATTTATTGCTGCATTTACAGTTCATTTAGATAGCACCTCTCCAATGATACAGCAAACTTGGGTTCTGTGCAACACTAAAGGTTCCCTTCATTTCTACAACACCTGCATTCCATATAACATCCAACTACATTCAGCTGTTCAACAAAGTTCACAAATGCAACTCTGCCAATATTATTATAGTATTTTAATACTAATCTAAAAAACGAGGTAGCAGTCTGGGCAGTACCTTATTAGCCAAATACTTCTACTCTGCCAAGTAACTACACTTGACTATAAAATATCTTTGCATTAAAAAAGAAAAAGCAAAAATGCTAACATTTCACCTCTTCAAAGTGAGAAGTCCCACAGAATAGAAAGTTTCTTTTTGCTTTCCTTTTAGCCTACTTCTTAGAACAATATTCATTCACCTTGGAAGGGAACTCAAGAAGGCACCTATTCCAGTCTCCTAGTCAAAGCAGGCTCTGCAACGAATTGAAAACCTCCATAGACAGAGGTATGACAGCCTCTCTGGGCAACTTTTCACTGATAGACTCCAGTAAGAGTGAAAGGTTTTTTTCCTTAACAGCACCATTTGTGGTCCTAAGGAAACATATACAATAGAATTAAATATGAAGTTGGTATGGAGCTGGAGCAGGGCAGATGCACAGATGTGCTTTCCATGAGCATACAGGTATGTCCTGCAAAATCCATCAGTAAACAAGATAATCAGGTATTTCTAGAGATTTCATGAGAACAGGCAATTAGAGAGAAATCCTATTAGAAGGTCCACAGAGAAAAAGGCTGCAGTGTAACCCTTTTTAGAGGCCAGACAACCTACACAGAAGCCAGATCTCCAGATGTGTCCCTAGGAAGCTGGCCTTCACTAGGCCACTGCTCACAGAATCACTTGTAGTAGGGAAATTAAGAAAGGCTTGTGAAATTTTGTCCTTTCATATTTAGAAATGCTTTAGAAATTCAATTATTCTTGTTTTGTTTTCTGATAAGCTTACAAGCCATCCAAGAAGTCATACCTGGACATCTGCTCAACCGTGTTATTACGCAGATGGTTGGTTCCATTCCCTGGACTGTTATCTGTGCCTTCTGAAAGAGACCTAACTGGATTTACGGGTATGTTGGCACCATCAAAGCTTATCCAGCCTTTCGAGGGAGAGGAAAGAAACATGTATAGTTGCCTAACAATATCTCTAGGTGTTTTAACAGCATTGAGAGATTTTATTCCTGGAAAGAAAAAGAGTCATTTAATTAGAATGAATATTTTTCTAAATATTTCATTTACTGTCAATTATATTAGACTAATAAAACTTACTGGGAGTAGTTCTGGTCAACAAAATAACTCTACCTTATCTTGACAGAAAACCCAGGGTAAAAAAAAAAATAAATGAATAAACAATTCCTTTTGGTGCAACTAAATTGGAAACTTTTGGGAGTCTCAAATTACAGATCTCTTATAGTCACAATAATTCTGCTCTTTCTTAGCTAGTAATCACACACCTGTTAAAACGGCCATTTAATCCAACATAAAGATTGCCATCATTCAGTAGTTGCTAACACAGTAAAAAGCATTACGGTACGTGATTACATGGATAAAAATACAGTGCATCAACCTGCATCTTACTTAAAATGTCCAATCAAAACAAACTTAGATCACTACTTTTGCTGTTGTGGCTTAAATAACTATTGTGACACTTCATTAACACACAGTCAAGCCTCCACTATCCAAGATTAGACAGAAGAAAGGGCTATACCATTCAAATTCATGGAGCCTTCCTAGAGCACTGTGACTCATAGGAGAGCTAGACTCCCTTAGGGATCATCATCAGCCTGAAACTGAACCCAGCAGGACCTAAGCTCACTCCGTTTAACTTAAACACCTACATGGAGCCTACTCAAATGAGCCACACACCAACCCCAGCAACTTTAGGGAGAAGTACAACTTCATTTGTATTGCATTAGTCAGCCTGATATGACCCAAAGACATTCCACGTAGATGCACATAACAGATAGCAGATAACCTACGGTCTGAAATTCAGCAATGGGACAACTGAAAAAACATAAAGCTGCACTACAGGTGTCATCAGAAAGATTGTTTAAACACAAGTCAGCTTTTCCAGCATTCAGTAAAACTTAACACAAACCAAGGAGCTCTCAGGGGTAACGCATAAAGCACTATGAAACTGTTTCTGTGCTCTTCATTGTGTCTGAAGATTTGCTACATCTTCAGGGAGGGCTGTTGCTTTTTGAACAAAACTTTAATAAAATTTCATTAATAAATGAACTATGAGAACTCCAGTTTTTATTACAGCTTCTAATATATTTGTTACATACATGGTTAAATATTGCCCTAAAACAAAATCCGTTTTCTTGTTCAAAATTACTAAAATATCACTAAGATTTCTAGAATATAGACTGGACTGGAGATCCCAAGACTGAGTCTTTCCCTTGTATTTTTTAAGTATTTAAAACTTTAAGGGGCTCAAACATGTATTTTTTAATTATAGAACACAGTTAAGGAAAATAACCAGTTCTCCCCAAATAGTTTACTGGTCCAAACTTCAGTATTTATCAGTTGAAAGGGAGTTGTTCATAATTTTGACAGTACAGTACTATGAACCATTGCAGCAAAAGTCAAATATCTATCCTTTATTCCATTTACAATGCAGGACCAAAAGAACTTCCCACTGCTTGCTCTCAAGTGCAAGGCACACATATTCAAATGGCTTTAATGATTTGCATTGTACAGGATATGTTTGCTCATTCATAAGCTTTTTATTTTTATTTATGTATTGCTGAAGTACCACCAGAATATGTAATGCAATTTTGTATTCCATTAACATTTTTGTTCTAATTCTGCATGCAAACTACTTCCGTGCACCTTACAGTTTTCCATGAACTGTTTCAGACAACCCTATTGTCTAAAATCATGCACAGACTTCGAGACAACTTGTCAAGTTGGCTTCTTACACGCTCCACTGCCTATGTATTGACAGAAGTTAGAAGAATAAAAAGAAGTGATCCAAACCAACTGCTCAGTAAACATCACTCAAAGCAGAGACAACTCCCTGTTAGACTTGTCTCATTAGGCTAATTTCTACTTCCGACCACGGGCACACCCGGAAGTCCCTCCCCTGCTCGTGTGCGCTGCGGACCAGGGAGGGGGGTTATTCCCACTGAAGCCCACGAGGGCCGCCTTGGAGGGAACAGGGCGCACTCTGTCGTACTTTAGCAAACTTAGTTACGGCCGGCACGGCCCGCCAGACACCGGCGGTCACCACCGCGCAGGGAGATGAGGCTGGGCGCCAACAGCCCTGCGCCATCTGCGCCCCTTTAGCCGGCCGCAACGAGCATCGGCACAGCCCGGCGGTACTCGCAACGCACATGACAGCCCGGGGCCGACACCTCCGGGACGTCTGGAGCCATCCAGCTACCGCGTGGGCTTCAGCACAGATGCCTCCGGCGCCCCCAGGTGCCTCCCGGGCAGGGAGACGGAGGATCTCCACCGCTGCGAAGGTTCAACACACCCTGGCAGCGACCAGATCCCACGGCTTGGCGGACCGGCTCCCAGCGAGGCGAGATCTGCGATCTGAGCGCCTTGCCACGGCGAGCAGAGCCAGTAGGTGGGCTAAAGTCGCCGTTAACAGACGGCCGCCAGCATTGCGCCTCGCACCCACTGGTGTGCCCGCTCTGCCCACGCCGCTCACCTCCCGCTCCGCCTCCCCCGCGCTCCTCGGGGCGGGTTGCCTGCGGGCGCAGCCGGCTTACCCCACTGCACCTACCCGGCTGGGCTGCAGGGGGCGCCCGCCGCCGCTGCCGCTCTCACTGCTGCCGCCGTCGCCACCTGTGGGGTTGCGGTCCCGCGCCGCAGCCTCCGCCTCCCGCTCCTCACAGCGCCGGCCCCGCCGCCGACTCGGCCGCCCCGCCGCGCCCCACCCGTGTCGTGCCCGCCGCCCCGCCCCGCGGCTCCTCCTCCTCCTGCTTGTCGCGCTCTACTCCGCGCGCCGCGAGGGCGGCTGCGGCGGCACCAGCATCGCCGGAGTCCGGGCCCGACCTTGGCTCAACCCACGCGAGCAGCTCCCGCCGCCCCGCTCCCACCCTTCAGCCTCCACCCGCTCCCCATCGAGAGCCAGAAAGAGAAAATGGCGCTCGATTTATCCCAGGAAGTGACGTAGAGGCTCATTTGCATGACGTCCAATGGGAAGAGATATGGGTCAGTGAGCCCATTGGCTCCCCGGAGGGAGATGGGCGGGGCTTGATGTGGGAGGGGCTCACCTGCTCCCCTGCCACCTGCCCCTCCCGCCTTCGTCCTGTGAGGGGCACCACTGAGACCTCTCGCGAGATCTGGAGGCGTGACGTCAGCCTCGATGGGGACGGAGCCTGATAACGCGGTGATCATCACGTGAGGTCACCATGTGACCACCCAGTAGCACTCCTGATTTGTTAGGAGGTGTAGCCTCATTTACATCAGCTGGGGGCTGGAGGCCCCGCCCACCTCAGCCAGCCAATAGGGCAAGGAGAGGCCTGGCAGCCATGATTCCCATTGGAGGAGGCCCTGCCACATAGCTCCACACGTGGCTCACACCTCCCCACCTTGGTGCTCCATTGCCAGGCCTGGAGGCTGTGGTAGGGATGGGGCTCCAGCAGGATCTGTGGGATCCTCAGGTGCTGGTCCTGGGCAGACAAGACCCACCGGGTGCACCTCTGGTGATGTTGTGTGGGAGCATGGTGGTATCACACCCATGGCACTGGAAGGCACCTCAGTGTGATGAAAGGTGCATCTCTGTAGGTCAGTCCATTGAATTGTATTTACCAGGTATTTCCATATCAAGCAGCAAGCTTGTCAGGCACAGTTCTTACTCCTGCCACAACAGAATCGCAGAATGGTTTGGGTTGGAAAAGACCTTAAGATCATCTAGATCCAACCCGCCTGCAATGGGCAGGGACACCATGGTGGCAGATGGTTTCTAGTGAACGCAAGATGGAAACAGAACTGATCCCCTGTGCTGGTGGGTAACACCCACACCACAAGGACCAGGACAACGGGCCACGTCAGCAGCATGTATGGGTTTCAACTACTGAGATGCCAGGTATGGTTCTGCGGCTGGAGCAGGCAGGAGGCAAGAGGTGCATTGTAATAGAGGTGTGTGGGGCCATCCCAGATCCCCTCCCCAGCACACCAGGATCAGCCACCTTCCTGGGACAGCTTTTAGTCTTTGTCTTCCCCACAAGGTTATCCTGGCTTAGCTTAGGCCATCTCTGATTGCAAACTAATTACTTCAACTTGAGTTTCTTTAAGCGTCCACCATGTGAATGAAATGCTTATCACATTGAAGCCAAGGGCTATTTTGCCATTGACCTCGGTAGCCATACATTTGCACTGCTTCTCTACATATGGCTCATATGTAGCTCAATTTGTTGGCCAGCTCCTGTTAAAGGCTGTGAAGGCCACATCAGTAGACTGACTGGTATCTTGTCAAAAGGTAATACTAATAAAATATTCACACTGGCAGAAAATTGTGCTCTATTTTTACTGTAGTGGCCACAAAAATTATTTGCCTTTGTAGTCCACACTCTCATAAGTACATTGAAACATAATTAGTTCTAAGTTTTTGGGGGTGATAACTTTCTATTGCTAAAAATTCATATGATAGAAATTCATTAGCTGTGTACTTTCTGCATATGCAGAATAAATGCATATACCCTTACTGGCATATACAAGTGTAAGGGTGTAGGTAAGTAAAGACTCAAAAACGATGGAATAAAAGGCAGCCACCCAGGAAAGATAACTTGTTCAGAGTAGATAGATGACTGTAGATTCAGATTGGATCTTGCAAAAAATTTCTTCCCTGAAATGGTAAAAGGCTTTGGAACAGGCTAACTATGAAAGTGGTGGAATCACCATTCCTGGAAATGTTCAAAATCTATGTAGACGAGGCCATTAATGATGTGTTTTAGCGGTGGACATGGCAGTCCTGGAGTTGGACTTGATGATCTGGGGTTTGACTTGATGGTCTTTCTCAACCTGATTGATTCTATGATTCGATAGTATAAAAAATTGTTGTTATGCAGTGGGAGAAGGGATATGCTCCAGTTAGTTAAAATGTAGCATTTAAAATAAAGCTTTTAGCTGCTGTCTGATAATTCATAAAGTAAAATAACTAAATATGGCTCTGCCAAAATGGAAATGTCCAATGGCTCCCACGTAATCAACAACATTAAACTTAATCAACAGCGGCTCCCATGTAATCAACAACGTTAAACTTCTGTTGCAACAAGGCATCAGCAAGTAAGTGCGGGGTGTTTTAATCAATGGATATGTTAACAAGCTTAAACAAAAGA